CGCTGATTCGGTGAGACAAAATATTCTATTCGGAAGAACAATGGATCAGATTCGATACGATCGCGTGACTAAAGTGTGTCAGTTAAAGAGAGATTTCAGCCTGCTACCTTACGGTGATAAGACGATTGTAGGAGAGAAGGGTGTCAGTCTTTTCGGTGGCCAGCGTGCAAGGTTGGTTTACAAAACATCCTAATAAGACAAAACATGTTGAATTTAGTGAAATTTGTAATCTTTATTTATATAATCTCAGAGACTCTCTTTTAATTCTTTTTACCTATATATGATAAGGTTGTTAAGAATCATAAAAAATTAATTTTCTTGAAAATGTTTGCATTTCATATATATGTATATGTGTATATAATTGACAGAATAAACTTGGCGAGAGCCGTTTATGCCGATGCCGACATATATCTTATGGACGATCGTTTAAGCGCCGTAGACGCCCATGTGGGTAAGCATATATTTGAAAAATGCATGGATAAATATTTACGAGGCAAGACTCGAATTCTCATTACTCATCAGTTGCAATATCTACGCAACGTCGGTAGAATTATCGTTTCAAAGGACGGAGCTATCCAAACTGAAGGGTGATTCTACTGCACTTTCTATCTTTTCAATTCATCTTGTTATTTGCGTAGGTTAATTACCTGTTAACATGATAGTATCATTGTCTTTTCGTAGAAAAAAATATATAAATATCAATGTTGATTCGCTTGTAAGCGTCACTTCTATTATTTTATATGAAATTATATGTTCATCAGCACTTACCACGAGCTGGGCTCTATGGGAGTGAATTTTGGTCGACTGTTAAAAAATCAAGTGGAGGCAGATGAGAAATCGTCTGTACTCTCCTCGCCTCCCGTTAGCTGTCAAAATTCGCTCATTGCCAGTATCACGTTGCTGAGTTCCTTAATGACGAATAATACTTCGAAACAGGATCCTGATGAGGTAAAAAATTTAGGGATTTATTTAATAAATTACTTTCTAACTGTGTTAATACGTATCTTGTTTAATTAATATTATTATTTAGAATAATTAAATTTGTGACTTCCATACAATAGTTGACCACGATTATTACTTAAACGAGAGAATTGGTTTTTTAAAATAAAAAACTTATGGAGATTATTGGAAATATTAGCAGTAGAAGTGGACGATGACTGAAATCAATAAGTATAATGAATAAATGTCGAGGAATAGAAACACAGGAATGCGTTATGGAGTTCATGGAACGTCTAAGGAGCTTCTAAGCTCCTTTCACTGGTTTTCACTGTTTAAGTTTTGCGGCGAACAGTTAAGAATTTGTTAGCATTAAGATCGCTCCGTGGCTTATCGCTCCGTGGACGCGTGCCACAACTCGGAAGCACTTGTGCGAGTCTTTGGTGCGGGTAAACGCAAATACGAAGCGCTGTTTCACCGCCCAAGACAGTGCCACCGTTGGTCCTTATTTTTGGTCAAGGAACTTAATCCTTATAACCAGGGATAGGACCCGTACGATCTTCGAGGTGAAGGAATGAGTCGGAAGGGTTAGAGAATGAAGGGTGACTCAATTTGAATTACA